CTATCTCCCTCTCTTAATCTTTCTGCTGTTCGCTCGCCCTGCTCTGCCGGAGCTCAGGGGATTGCTGTATGAGATGGAGAGTTAATGAAGAAAGCCTTTTCTCCTCCCCTGGAAGAAGGCTAGTACATTCTGGCAACTTTGTGCCATGTTTTGTTAATTGCGTCACGATCTGCTTTCCTGCTCTCCAATCCCAACCCCTGAACCGGTTTAGCATAAATATTTAACATCAATATTCTGTTAAGCCTCTGAGCATCAGCTGCATCATAAATAAATACAAACTATTTCAGAAGAAGTTGGTTGAACAGCTTCTGATTTTTTCTGTGAAACAATTCCTAAAAACATTTCCCCTCTTTATTCCTTTTCAGTACACACCATCTCTTTCACATTACTAGCAGGCAAAGCAGCAGTCGCCCGGCCTCTGGCTCTTACTCACACTCACACTCATAAGTGGCCTTGTCTTCGTAAACTGAAAGTGAGATGCAACATTGTCAAAGAGCCATTTAGTATGCTATCATCTAATATGGAGGATGATGTGGGCTGATGCTGGCAGCGTGGTTATGTAAGCAGCTTTCTCAGGGACTGATAGCAATCCAACACACCCAGCAGGAGGGCAGTGGTGTGTACATTAGTGTGTGGGGCGGGGGGTGTGAAATAATCACACATTCAGTGAGCTACATAATATTGCACCCAGTGTTTTGCCATGGGTACAGAGAGAGGCACTGCATTTTGGAAATTGATTTGTTAAATGGTAATGTACCGTGATTAGTGGAGCTGGAAACTAAGTGTGTCTTGGCTCAGTCAGGTGCTGATTGAAAGACATCATTAACCGGCGAAGGAGACGACAAAGAAAGACACAGCAGTAACAGGCCAAAATAGATTCTTAAGGTATAGGTTCATAAGTCCATGTTAATACAACACCCTCAAATCATATCTAAATTCAAATATTCATCTTCATATTGGCCATGAAGCAACTGTTCTCTATAGCAACATCGGCCTTATTCAGCCAAAGAGTTTGTTTTTATGTCCTTTTTTTATTTTGCCTTTGTGTATCACAGACAGTTTTTAATAAGGATCAGTGTATGTATACTTCCTGGGATAAAAACCAACTGGCAGTAGACTTAACGTAACACATGACCGTTGATTTGACTAAGATTCCTGAAGCTGACATTAGCTTTGGCTTTTCAGTTACTTTTGCTAACTTTTTTTCAGTAATATACTTATGTGCTTACATGTGCATGTACATGTTCGTGATGTATATGAAACCTGCTCTATCAAAATCAGTCACATCGACCATGAAACACATTTTGAGTTGTATACACTGTTGGAAAGAGGAGACTTAGCTTTCCAAAACCCTGGTCATTAATGTTATTTAACACTCCACAAAGCCAAACCCCCGAACCCTTCTGAATGATATGACATTTTGAAGTGACTCTGTGCCATATCACCATCTGTTCTTCTGATAACCTCGACATCAATATCAACCCCAGAAGGCAAAACTATAACAAACCTCCTGGACATACTACACTTCTTCAACATCAATCGACAACATTAATTTTCAAACTCACCAAAAAAAGACACACACTGGATCTGGACCTGGGACCACATCAGTAACCTGACCAGTACTAACCGGACTATCTGACCCTCTGGCTATCTCTCTGGACTTGAACCTCCCTGCCCTGCTGCATACTCCGGCTTCCTCACCAGTTTCCCCCTTCTCAAACTCTCTCACGCCTTCAACATCAAACTGGCACCGCCGTCTTTTTGTCAATTTCATACCTCTCAGACATACACTCAATACGTCTCCATAATAAACTGAAAATCCTCCATTAAGGTTACTTTTTGGTTCTGAATAACCACTCTAAACTGAAAACACAAATGGATGAGTTTGGTCTTTTGCAGCTCATATAGGGTCATACCTCAAACAAAGCAAATCAAATAAACCTCCCTAAAGCTGTTGGAACTAGCTTCAGATTTTGCCAAACGTTGAGCTGAGAGAGAGTAAACTGGTTCCAGGAACACTTCTTCATCATCCTCACGTCCCCGCGTGGCCGGACAGACGGTCCAAACAAAGCATGCAGGGGTGACTGAGTCTCCACACTCCACAGCCATCAATATGTCAGCCTGCATTATATATTCGTCAAAGCATGGATTCCTTATTGACTGGAATAACGCTCAAGGTCATCTTGTAGGAATCTGCAGCAGCCCTGTAGTCAGGTTAATGCCAGTGTTTTCAGACCAATTCATTCAATTCAATTCAAATCCAAAAGTATGTGTTGAACCAAGTCAATCTAAGGGGGTTTTCAAGAACTACTAATCGATACCAATGCAAAGGAGGCTCAGGGCTGCAAATATTTAAAAAATGAGTTGGTCAAAATGTAAGTGTCAAATTATTACAATTTTTAAAACTAAATGAATAAACCATTGCAATTTAAAAAAATCTTCCCAGTGTATATTAGAGATAAACAAACAGGTATAGACACATTGAGAAATGAACACAACATTTGTATTATGACAATAAAGGTAACACATACCTGTACAGACTGCTGATAGATGTGTATATAACTGACTGTTTGCACTCTGGTTAAGGCCGCTACACACCCACCTGAGACCAAAGTTCGCGTACCGAAGGCGTCCCGACTTTTACGTCAGCTTCGTCGCCTGCGTCGGCTACGCCGCCCGCCTACGAACACACCGCAAATACTTCAGTCGACGAGTGGCAATAACTGTCCTTACCAGCAGGCAGCGGTAGTGTGAACAGCCAATCAGAGTGATTGCTTGGGCCGACTTTCTCTGACCTCCAGGAGGCATCCGGAGGTGTGAAAAGGTGCCGTAAAGAGACGACGGTGCGGGACACACAAACCTGAGTAGGGCGCCGCAAATGCCCGACTGCCTCTGACGGCCTCTGACTCCCAAAATCGGGCTGGTGTGTCCGGGCCTTTAGACCCTCCTAATTTCGTTACACTCTGCTTGCATTATGTAATGACAATAAAGTAATCTGGGAGGTGGAGGAGGCGTGTGGCGTAGTGGGTTGTCCGTAGGTGTTCGGATCAGGGGGGTCACAGGTTCAAGTCCCACTGCAGTCAGCATGTCGTTGTGTCCCTGAGACACTTCACCTCAAATTGCTCCTGTGGGGATTGCCCACAGTACTGAGTATGTAAGTCGCTTTGGATAAAAGCGTCTAACAAGTAACATGTCATGTAATGTAATGTAATCTAACATAAATGACTATAATATGGGCACACATACAAGCATAAGAATTCATGGATTGATTATCTTCTAAATGTGAACGAGTTGATGTATTACTTTGAACTGTGCTCTTGTAGATTTTGCCCTAAAGCAGCCCTATGGACTAATATATCAGTTAAAAAACAATATCAATTGTAAGTTTGCCAAAATGAGCTCACATCAGGGGGGTGGAACAGTGGCACGCAGTGATATTCACGGGTTGAAAAAACACGTCAGATCTTTGTAGATGTGATTGTTGGAGATTGTTTTGTTGCAGATGTTTCTCTCGCTGGGCCGTTCCCTCTCGTCGTTCGCCTGAGTGAGAGATGAATACGCATTCAAATGCAAATTCATTCAGAAATTATTTGATAGTATTATTGGTGGTAATGTAAATATTTGTGACACTCTTCAAAGTAAATACAATGAAATGATTGACTTGTTGATGTGTAAATCAATATGTCTCTCTCTCCCAGGGTGTTTGGGCAAAAGAGTTCCCCGGGTTCCACACCCTATACATAGTTATGGGAGGGAGTCACCAAGTGGGAATCGGGCAGAGGGGAAGTTTAGCAGTACTTTGCACTTCTTTTATTTATTATTTATATTTATGTATATATTCTGGGTCTATAGGTATTTATTGGTGGTTAACGGTTTAATGTAGACATTTAATGACGTGCATATTTAACCAGTGAATGGTACGTGCCAGCCAATTAAGGTTGGAGGCTCCTATAAAAGGCAGCCATTCTGTGTTTGTGGGTGTTGTGTGTGGTGGAGGGCAGCCATGTTGTGAGCAGAAAATAAAACAATTTCATCTTGAAACGGCATTCGGTATCGTGCTCTCCTCTTTGCCTCCATGGCCGGTCGGCTTTTGTTACAATGAGAAGAGCTCATGAGATAAGGGAACATTGTGAACCACACTATATACAATGTAGCAGTGCAGTGTAATGTACTTTAGCATTTTAGTACTGCCATGTGCTGTTTGCATATTTCTCTCTCCAGGGATTTCATGTCAACATTCGGCTGCTTTCAGTACGCCAATGTAGAGAAATCTGCAATTCATGCTCATCGGCAGGACTGTATCATGAATGTTCTCTGAAATACAAAGCTTTATTTGGTCAGTGGGTTTAAGGTCAAAACTGGTGTGAAAATCATTCATAGGCAGAGCTGGGGAAGGCATCCCTACAGCTGTGTGGGAGGCAGCGAAATGAAGAGCTGATGGTTAATCCATAGTGATGGATCAGAGTGCCGCAGGGCTGGAGTCCTGCGGTGTCAAGGTGTGTGGAACAACAGTGACTTTTCACCCCTCCTTACTTCTTCTAATTGTTCTCTCCTCCTACTCCAATCCTCTAATTTTATCTTGAAATTCCAATATGTCACTTGATGACATTTTCTGTGTGTTAAAGAGAGGAATATATTGTAATGCTTTGTACCATGGTGTCAGGTGGCATGAACCACAAATCTGAATCAATATCCTAACACTAAAACTGTTGACCTTTCCAGCAGCCCTGTGTCCACATATCTCTTGCTGTGATAGGGCTCTGTTTGAAAAGGATGGTTTTCCTATAACCAAGCTATATTTATTGTCAGATGTTTGAGTGTCACAAATGCCAATTTTCACAATGAACCTTTTTACTTATGACCAAGACTGTGGTTATGATTTTAACCCTCTCCAAACATTTCAGTGTGAATACAATAACGGACAGTTGCTCATTATCACTGTATTGCTCTGTTGCATACAGTACAAGCAGCTAATCTAACCACTGGGTTTTGTTTTCTAGGAGAAAATCATTGGCCGGTCCGCTCCCACAGTCACCATGGTAGGGATGGCTGTTCTTTGTTCAAGGGTCAAAGTTGCCTCCAACCACTTCTCCTTGATTTCTGTATTTTTCTTATGAACCTGTTAGTCAGGACTAACCTCTGATGATGGTTTGGAGGCAGCTGACACCTGCAGTGTTAATTGTAGTGCAGTGCCTTCCCATTGACCTCTACCTCTCTATACCTAACCTGTGTACTTTCCCCTGGACATTTAGCCCTGCTTTGTGTGTGATGACTACATGTGTGCAATCCGGTGTGTGTCCTATGGTTTCTGGGGTGTAACGGTACACAGGTCAATGTCAGGTCAATAAGAGCTGCAACCAGGAGGCAACATTCACTTGTTTCTGTTCAAAGTAAAAAAGAGATGCCTACCAACACCTCTGAAGATCACTACTTAACATATAATACCTTATTTGTTTAACTCATGTACTCATCGAAATGTGAAATACCATACCACCACGATTTGTTTTGGAAAGAACAACTTCTGTCCAACCTAATTTCTCTAAGGGTCACACTGTGAAATGAGAATCACATTAGGGATAGGCATACAGTTTGTTGCTTTCATTTTGACGGTTATATTGTTAAATGTCATGAATAATCTTCTCCCATGCAGGTTATGCACATTATAGCAAGCCCGTAGCACTGTAACTCACACAATCTGCCTTGTTTTCCAGCTCACTGAGAAACTACAGCACTCCTTTGTGTTATGAGCTTACATTCAGGGGCTGACCCAACTAGAATATTCTAGCTGACAGACATAACAGCTGTCTCACTGCAAAACTCCCTGGGGGGGGGGGGGGGGGGGGGGGGGGGGCTCGCTCTTTGAAATGTAAAGTCCCAATGTATTAATCCAAATGAGACAATTTAAACTCATTTGGTAATAAACAAGCACTGCTATTGGCAAAGACAAGTACCGTTACACCTTCAAGGAAAACATTGTGAAGAGAAGATGTCCGCTGTCTTCAGTTTTTGATTTGAACAAAAAAAAACATTGAGTATGGGTCTAATTCATGAAAAAGCTTACCAAACTAGAACATACTGAATGAAAGCAGAATATTGTGTCCCTCTTGATGCTTGTTGCAGATGGCCCACATTGTTGTTTTTTCATTGTGTTGTGCCTTAAAGCCAAACTGGTCTCATTTCACTCCTCTGTTCTAATTCCTTCCCTTTGAAAGTATGTATTGAACTGTTTCACTGTAGCTTTTTCTGTGTTACCCACTTTACTAAATGAATGTGCTAACCTGTATGGTGTGTGTGGTCTTCACATCTCAGTGGAGAGGAGGGCTGGTCTATAAAGGCATGGATAAAGGCAGTTTTGATGATGTTACTTCTTTTATTTTTAAGAAGACATCAGATAAATCTGTGCTTATCTTTGCTTAAGATATACGGACCCTCCTCTTCCTCCTCTACCTCTTCCTCGCCCTCTGCCTCCTCTCAAAGGAAGTCAGCTTTTCAACAGCTCGCAAATGGAGTGGGTTGGTATGTCAATCAACTGTTGAAATAAATGGCTTTTCATTCCTAGATATAACGTCACATGAAAATGCCAGACTGTTACACTGTTTGATTTTCAGGAAAGATTATTACCTTTAAAGCCACTCTATAGTGAGGGAACATCATGAAGCACTACTTCAACAAAATGGATCTGTTATTGCCTTTTAACACACAGGGTCACAGTATCCCTAGGTGGGTTCACTGTCTATCACATTTCAAAATGAACTGGATATGAAGTCCATCTCAACCTCCTGCCCTCCATCCCTGCTGAGACTGTGGACTATTGTCAAGCTGCACAGGCAGCCACATGTCAAGTGACTGCTTGACCTCTGGTGTCCTGTCGGTGATTGTGCGTTATGAGATAAAGAGCGATACTTACTGGCAATATAGTCTGTTGGTGTTTTATTTTTGCACACAGAAACGTTGCAATCTGCGGCTCTTGTGGCTCATTAATAAAGCTTTCTATTAATGTATAATGATATCTGCATATTCAGGCACAGCTTTTCAGTCCAACCAATAGAAAATGTGTTTTCACTGATTAGCAGACATGAGATGTAGTAATACTGTAATTACATACTTTACCTATACAAACAAAAATAGCAGCATTACAAAACAATATCATCTGAAGCATATCCACATTGGCAGTTAACATTTAGGGATTAAATGTGAGCACTGTTGGTCAGTAGATAAATGTCAGAGGGACGTGATGGAGCCACGAGGACAGGAACATCCACAGCCTTTTTGCACACATGGACAGTGCACTCTGTCTTCGCCCCCCCCCCAACCAACCTCCAACCTCCTACGGGCCTTTCATAGCTCCAGTAGCTGCACTTGGCAGGGCTAATGGGATGGCAGGGCTGTTGGTTTTAGAGAGGGATGTGGAGAGGAGAGTGGAGCAGAGGGCTGAGGATGGCTCTCTAATAGATATGGGGGGTTGAGTCTGGGGGTGGAGGGCTGCTGATCACTGGACCATGATGCTGTCTCTCTTCTTTTCAGACCACTGGCCCCTCACATACTTTTCTTTCTCCTATCTTTCCCCAGGTTTTTTCATCTTTATCTTATGATCTTACTCTTAAAGGAAACCTATCATGCTATATTTAAATGATATATTGTAGGGCCATACCTATATAAGGTATATTTATACGTTTCTGTTTTCAAAATACCAAACAGATCATGCATTTTAGCCATGCCTCATTTCGCTCTATGTGCTGTTTGCTGTCTACGGGTCTGATTCTGCTGACCACGCCCCCCTGCAGGAGAGGTGAGACGTGCTCTGATCAGCTGCTGGGCTGTCAGAAGAGGGGGAGAAAAAGAGATCTCCGTCCTCCGTGTTTTATTATATAGAGTCGTTATTCATTTGTTTTAAAGTTCAATAAATAACAAAGAAGACCTTTGACCGGCACTTTTCTAATTTTGTCCGGAAGATTTAAACTTTAACGGACATCTTGACCGGCGAAAGTAACTGAAACTGAAACTCTGCCGCACGGTCCCCTCGTTCCTTGGAAGAGGCGGAGAGGTGGGTGTTTGTCATCTGCTGGTGGACTAACCGGAGAGAATTACAGTGCTTGCCTCGACGGGGAGGGATTGCATTGAATTAAAGCAGCGGGAGCAAACGCTTGCCTCGGGGAGGGAGAAAGAAAGCCACAGCGGAGAATAAACAGAAGGGTAACCATGGTAACCAAGTCTTCTTCGCTGCTTTTGTGGCAGGCTACAGCGCCACTTACAGGCCTGGCATATGTACTACAGTGTCTCCAGCGCTTTCGAACGGCAATGGCCGTGGCTGTCTCCTCCTGATTGGTGGAGTTGGCCCAATAGCCGTAGCGCCACCGTCCTGAAGTCAGGACAGTGTTCAAATCTGGATCAGTTTTTATCAGATCCGTTGCAGCCCCTTTTTTAGAGATTTGGGTATGGAGGAAAATAGAGAGGGTTGTGTTTTCTGACACTTGGTGAGTTCCCTGGAACACCGGGGACACATATTCATGTATAAAAGACGTACAAAAGTGCATTTTGCATGATAGGTCCCCTTTAAGTTAGAGAGAACTGCCTCATCTCTACTCTGTTCATAACTTCCCCAGACATAGAAACAGCAGTTTGTGGACACACCCACTTACACAGACAAACCACCCACAGTACTGGCTATTTTATGAGCTGGCTGCTCAGCTGTTTGACGGAATGAGTTCTTAGAAATGAATTCTCTCATTGGTTCTGCAAATGTCTTTTAACCTTAGCACCGGGTTCCAGGTGTTCTGTGGAGAGCTCAGCATGTGAAGTGTGAATGTGGATGTGATGTTTGGAAGGGTGATGTGAAACAAAATGCCACGTCAAATGTCAGATTACTGAGTCACTTGTGGGCCATCTGGATGCTATGCTAATGAGCTATTCTCTGGAGTTTGGTTGAAAGCAAAGAAAAATGTAATGTGAGTATCTTGATGCAAAGGTGAGCCCAACCTTAATTCAGACACCAAATCGGAAAAAGCTTAGACAGCTGTGTCATCAACATACTGACAGAAAAATATCCATTTAGCAATTTAGATAGGAACCCTGTTTAACCCAACAATCTGGAGAGGATGTCAATCATAAACCATCAACCCACTGTATGATTACACAACAGTGCTGGCTTATTTCCACACGGCAATTAAAGGAAATGAAGGCATTAGGTAGCTGACAGCAGTGTGTGCAGGGGGCTCATTGTATCCTCCCTACACACACACACTTTCTGGAGCTGCATCATGGTACCTTGGTCTGCAGAGGTTATTTTGCAATGTTAGCATAATTCTCTTGACTCTGAGAGGTTGGGGTTGTGGTTGCACTGGGACTCTTTCTAGAATGTGGTTAATTGTTCCCTAGGTCCTTGAACATGGCTGTTCAGGTTCTTAATGAGTTACAGGCCTCTGTTTCTCCTCAGTGGGCGTTCAGCGCCCTCACACCGGCTTTAACCTGTTAACCTGTTAGACCCCAAGCCTGTTTTTCAGGTCTCAGGCTCGAAAATGACATTTCCAGAACAAATGACCATAACTACACTTCTAAAAGGGGAAAATTAATAATCTTTTTTCTCAAAGTAATGATAAACCTGTGAGTTGGATGTAGAAAAGTCAGAATCAATATAGATGTTTTTTATTTTAAAGAAAATTCAGATTGAACATAGTAAAAAACTGTAAATGATTGTGTCCGTCCAAAAATTATTTTTTACTTATAGTGAAAACTACCCTTGGATGATGGGTTAGAAGACTAAAAGCTTTAGGAATCCAAAGTACAACATATAATAAGTACCCTGTATCAAGATTGATGCAAAACAAGTGACATTTGACCTTTTTAGAGAGGTTTAGCAAAAATAAAACACTTCTGGGGTCATTTGGGTGGATTTTCCATATATCTGGCCCCCCTTGGTCGATTTTGCTGATTGACATCTCTTTTTAACCGTTAGAGCCAATGGAATCGAGGGAAAGTTCCACATACACACACAGCTTACCAAATAAGGAGTGAGAGAGACGCGTAGAAAAACCGGAAGCTG